CCAACCATATTTTTGAGCGGGGTCTTCACCTAGTTGAAAATGTCAACATAAATAATGCAGGAATAAAATGCAAGAGCTTTAAGCTATTGTGAAAACCATTGTCATATGATGTATAAACATATATGTCAAAGGAATATTGAAATAAATGTAAGTAAATAAACGTATAACTCTGAGTTTTTTCTGAGAGTTTTTCTATATACGCAACATATGTATGTATATGTTGGTAAATATTAAAAGTGCATGCATATGTACACATATCTATATACATATGTATGTACAATTTAAATTTGGAGTTAAATTAAAATCATTAAGGCTACAACACCTATGTATTCAGATAAGAAATTCACAGCAATATTCATATACCCTGATCTTAGCCAATGTTTGTGGCTCATAACCTTTTCCAATTAGCTGGGATTTTTAATAGCTCGGTTACTTTCAACAACTCCAATTAAGAGAACATGAAAATAAAAGAAAAAAATAAAAAAAAAACAAATACAAAAAATGAAATAACAAAACGATTGAAAAGAGACCTACAAATTTTATTTGTCTGCATTGCTCTCAGCGTTCGCAGCTTGCCCGTGTTTGCCCTGAAAATCCAGACCTACATCAACAACGAAAACGAAACGAATTGAATCGAAACGCATTGAGACAAAATGAAATTATGCCAACCTCATTTGCAGATATGACGACAACATGTGTGGCGTCTGCAAAGCTCCCGAAATTCCAGGCAGCGCACAGCTGGAAATTGTGTCAATCCGGTGAGCAAACACAAACACGCATTGAATTTTCTACGTGTGTGATTGTGTGTGTGTGTGTGTGTGTTGCAGTGATATTTGTTTACACACAGCCATACCGATATGTGCGAGGTAGACGAATGCACATGACGATCTGAAATGTGAATATGAAGCAGGAAGTGGTGCATTAATGCGCACACAGACGCTCCGACTAATGCCAAAATGTCAACACACGGCAATACAAATGAAAAATACTTTTGTGTAAATGTTTATATGTAATATCAATGTGCATACATATCCAAAGGAAAGCGTACTAATGCGCAAAGTGAATGGTATGGAGGACGTCGTAGAAAATAAAAATGGAGAAACAAAGTTTCGCTGAAGTGGCTTCACTGGATCCTTGTCATATATTCTTTGCCACTTCACTTCAAGCTTTGTCGTTCGGCTCAGCGCAGCGATAGTAAAGACATGTATGCGTATACATATACACGTAGGTACATATGTATGTACATAATCACACAAGTATACGACTTTTAGAAAATTAAAAAGCAGCATAGCGGCAAATCTCATAAAAAAGATAGAAAGCCAAAAAGATGAAAAACTTTACCCAAAAACAAGCATAAAAATGTAAAATTGTGTAAAAAAGTAAGATAAATTAGAACGCATTTGATGTACATCCATATGTATGTAGTAGGAGCGCCAACAAGAAAATATGTAGTAATATAAGCCTAAGTACAAACAAAAATCAGGGAACACGGCACGGAATAGTAACTGGCCACGTGATGACGATAATGGTTGGAGAAGGCAGATATGAAGACAGGACACAGTGTCGCGCAAAGTGTTGCAAGTAGCAGCAGCAGTGACGCCGGGGGCTAAGCATATTGTGACAAGTGCTAACATTCGCAGCTTGCAGATGTAATTCCATTTTCTTCACCGCAACCACAGAGGGATGTTCGGGTGCAAGAAGTGCTCCTGTGTATATCATCACACTTACATTGGCATTCGTAGCACCAGTTAACCTCAATACTGACTTAATTGACGTATTCATTTTGTCGTCATTACGATTGCATCACTGCAATTGTCGGAAAACGAAAAGCTGAACGAACTCACTGACTCGGCCGTTGGAAGCGACTACATCTGACGCTGCTGCCGGTGTTAATCATATGGATATATATGCACTGTCTCATAAGTTGTTATTTTTTATTGTAAGATTGAGTTGAAAGCTTCTGCCGCAGCCGTTCTTTGAGTTATGGTATAGTAGCATTTTAATTTTTCTCTTTTTCCAGGTGGAAAAATTACATTTCTATGTTTTCGTCCATTTGTTCTTTCGCCGTTGTATCATTGCCACCTAAAACTCGAATCACAAATCCTCTTACGAAGGCATTCAAATTACCTACATACATACATACATATGTAGGTATTTACACATTTACGAATATCTCTTTGCGCCCATTTTTGACGATTCAAATGTGCAGCTGCTATCAATTATCTTCACGTTGACGTTGCAGTCATAGGCTTTGCCGGTAAACGTTGGTCACCAACAACTTCGTCATTTACATCGTCATACCTTAGAACCATAGCCGCTGCCAGAACTCATGCAGTCGTCATCTCTGCCGTCATTAGCGGCATTACGTTATTATATGATGCTGCTACGATTACCATGGCGCAATTTCTGCACAACAACTGGCAACAACCAGGAAGAAAACTTATCAGTACACACTTAGCGAGGGGATTTGCTTGTATGCCATACACATGCATTGTTATTGTTATGCAGAAAAAAGTGCACATTGGACAGATACAAACAAGTATTGGCCGCTGCTGGTGTTAATGCCTTCTGCAAAAGCGTACGAAGTGTGCCACGGAGCGTATGAGCGACTCTTAATGCGGAATGGAAGCAAAGAGCGCTTGTGTACCGATTGAGTGTGAGAGGCGAAAACTAATAGCGCACGAGATTAGAGTAATATCCACCATATCGGATGGTAGGTACGAAAATTACCAACACGAAAACTGTTATCAACATTGTAATGTTATTTACACCGTTACTAACATTTTGATGTTATTTACACTGTTTTCTAAAATCAGTTATTTCTAACATTTGAACAAAGATTGACTTGATTTTACATACATATATACTTACATACATATGTAAATATTCGACTGAATAAAAAATTTGGCTTAAATTTGGACTTGGTGTGTATTATTGGCGCTTTGCAACCGCTGGTGTACTTATTCAAGGAAAAATAATTTATGACTTATCCAAACATAGGAGATTTTATTATTTGTTGTTATTAATATTATTAGATTTGTTGATTATTAAATTTAACCAAAAAAAAAAAATTCAAACAGTTTAATAACTAAGAAATATTTGTAACAGTAGAAGCAGGTGGATGAAATAGCCTAGAGGCTCGGAAGTCCAGGGTTCAAGTCGTGGTCCGACCAACATTTGAAAATTGTAGGAAATTATTTAAATAAAAAATTAAGTTAATTTTCTCAATTGCGGCTGGATATGTAAACCCTGTCGAGTGTCGAATTTCAGTAGAAGCTGAAATTGTGAAAAAGTTATAATATTAGAAACACAATAATTCTTGTTATAAATTTGGGAGCAAAGCCACCCTGAATTTTAATTGTTTTTTTTTTATATTAAGCAAAAAATTGTTATTTTCGAAAAATGTGCACATTTACTTCTAGCATATTTTGAGTTATTCTCTAGAAGTCTTAAAATAATAGAGTGATAAGCATTACGTACTGTGATACTTCGAGTGTAATTGTGAAATAAAGAAAATGTGCTCATAAAAATCCACCGTCAGAAAAATAGCTGTAGGTCCTTCTGTTTGTTAGAAAGCCACATACACCACAAACCAGAGGAGGAGCTCGACCGAAAATCGTTTCAGGCGGTAGCTCACTTAATTTGTAGCGAATAATCAAATTACAAGACAAAAAATTACAATGTAAAAAGGGTTTACACAAATGTAATTTTTTTTTTCAAAAACAAAACCTGTAAATTAAGATTGTACCGAAAATTTTCAAAAAATTTTGTAAGTATTTAGTTTGAAAAATTTTACACCAACCGAAAAATAAAATCTGTTAATATATTGAAAAATTCTCATTGAACGGTGTGCAGCTGTTAACATACACTGTAGTACATATTACTCACAAGGCAGTACATACAGGAACTTTTTGTAAAGCTCCGACGCGCACATAATTCGTTGTTCTCTCTCATACACTCGGCCCAAACTTCGTATCCGCTTTGCAGCACCTGGTAAATCAAGCAAATTGTGGTTCGCATCGTTTTGAATCTTTTTAGCTTGCACTCTGCTGCAAAGCGTTTCAACTTTCCATAGAGTCTTCACACATTTTTCATTTTTTTTTTTTTGTATTAGTGAACTTTCGTTTAACATGTTGTATCTATTGCTCGGCTCCTATACTCAAAGCATTTTTCGGAACTCTCACCCTCTATGCTAATATTAACAGACAATTTTGCGAGTGTGAAAACGGCTTATTGTGTGTGTGTGTGTGTGTTTAGTATTTTCCACTATGCCAAACAATGCCACAACATCCCAACTACTGAAAGTTTTTCCATATTTGAGGAGTAGAACAGTTTCAGTTTTCATTTGTGTTTCCGCGTGCACGCACATGACACGGCGGCTGTGCGCTACTCGCTAACTTGTCAAGTACTGAGAGAGTGTGAATGTTTTTGAATAAAGTGCACAAGAAAAGCTAGAAGAACAAGATAAAACTGGAGCCTGACGAGTTTCTAAAGTTTTTATCTAATTTTTTTGATTGACTAAGAAAAGTGAAATAACAGTGTTTTATTTAAATTTTAGAAGAGTGAAGAACCAGATGTTACTAAAGTTAGTGGATTATATGTGAGCCATTTATAAAAAAGTTCTAATAATGCGAGTAAAAAGAAATAAAACCGGCTTCAGCAAGAAGTAAAGTCTACTACACTGTTAGTTAAATAACTAAGTATAGATTTTCACTCTTGGATCGGTTAACACTGCCCATTCCATCACTGCCAACGTCAATAATAATCATCATTATCATCACTAATAACATACACATTGATTGGCTAACAGAGTGTGTACACTGTTTATAAAGGTACTGTTAGCGCGCGATTGCGAGATCACTGCTGAAGCTGACAATTCGTCATTCGGTCATTCGCTGTTGCAGCTTCGTGCATTTTATGCTGCGTTGCAGAGTCGATACACCATGTATTTCAGAGAACTGTTTCACTCTCTACCGCCGTGCCGCTTTTTTAGCTCCCAGTGTTAAGTGTTGGGTCTGTTTAGGACTTTGTGCCGTATTCAGTTTAGTCGAGTTGTGTCGAGTGGTGGTTAAAGCATATGAACGGAAGTGCAGTGTAAACCGGAACACGGAAGTTGAAACAACACTCAACAGCCACTTTTATATTAACAAAAAATAAGTAAAAAGAATAAATGAAAAAATATATATGAATGTAACGTATATGCAAATTGTGTTCAAATTTTCAATTTCAATATTTTGTTTAAAAAGTTTCGTGAATAAAGTGAAGCTACTGTGCAAGGCTTAATGCAACGGTGTACAATCTGCCGAAACTTCTAACATGTTTAAGCTAGTGATGCTTCACTCAAACGATGTCGAAAGCCAAGGCGTATAACGAATGTATGGTTTGTTATGTTGATTATGGTGACCATGTTCATTTGAATTAGCGAAAAAAAAATATAAAAAAAATTTTACCTAACTATATGTGAAAATATATTTAGATTGTGCTATCTATCACATCATGATTAATGGAATAAACAAGGCGAGAAACTTGTGAAGAAACGGAAGGTGGGTCAAACTATTTGATTAATTAGCCATGTAATGAGCGATTATTATGTGTCATTATATAAGCAAAAGAACTCAAAACTCATTATTACTTTTTATTTATACTTTTCTGAGCACTCATAAATAAATAAAGTTGTAATATATTGTTTATATAATTATGAAAAATTTTTAGTTCGGTTGCTTATTTAAAAAAATGCACTTAATAAAAGTCTCTGAAACAATGAAATACTTTTTTCATTTTTAAAACTTTATTATAAGCCGCTTCGAGTGCTGACTCAACCAACATTATCAAAAGGGAAATATTTTTCCCGAGTTTTCAGTCGTATTTCAACACATCGTTGATGTTTGCTTGGCAACAAAGGGTGCCGTCAGACGTAGCAATTTTTATTTCCCTTACCCAATTTGCCTTGAAGCATCTGAAACTAGTTCCTGCACATTTAATTTCATACAATTCCTGAAAAAAATTGCATTCATCTGAAAATTGATTTCTGAAATTAAATTTCATATTGCTCATCAGCAATTTTAATTTCTCTTCAAATTACTGTCGAGAAATTGGGTATTGTCAGAGATAATTTTTTATAAATTATTGTAAAATTCAGTTTCCATGGAATTTTGTATGTTTGGAGTGACTGCTCTTCAAATTAAGTTTCGAAATTTTTAATTTTGTCATGCAGTTTTCAATTAAGTAACTGCTTTGTCTGACGACATCTTAAGCGTTTGTTAAAAAATTCTTAAGGATGGTGAAAATAGGAAAATGTACTGCAGCCAATTTTGAACAAAATGAACTTAACACAGAATCCAACCCATTAGACATTTCTTTCAAAAATCTCTCGGCAAAATACTCCGCAAAGTAAAAATAATTAGAGTGTTTCGAGTCTGCTTTACAGTAAGTTGAAGGAAAAATTTGACTGAAAACGAATGTTTTAATTATAACTGCATTTTATATGTAATTTGTCTTTCCGGGGCTTTGTTGTGTCTGCTTAATGTTGTGTCGGTATGGTGACCTGTCGGGATTGTGACTTGTCCGAATTTTCGAAAATTGTCTGGATCATGCATACTCTCGATTTTCAATGACGTAATTATGGTGTATTTCCAAAATAACAAAGTTGGAATTTAAAATTATGGTTTTTTTTTGAAATTTTGTGGTTTAATTTTTTGGATTCTCTTGTCCGACCCCTTTTTGATGATCAATATGAAATTCACGTAGAAAACGGAATATTGTATTTAAATGAATTCTATATTTTGATTACTCTTCACACTTACTCTAAGGAAAATACACGTTTCAATCTTCTGTTGCATCTTAGCATGGAAAAGCTGTTATTTTTGCATATTTTTCGGCTTGGATCTAGTAGAATATTGTTTGCGAATGGCTCTGACCAAAAATATTATGTTGTAAGCGCATTTTGGATACAATTTTTGATTAGAAAACATCAAAAAAGATCCAATTTCGTAATATAACAGGTTTGTTTATCGAAACTGCAAATACAATGGACCTGCTCAAGTTCGAGCTGAACAGAGCAAGAGCAGTTAAAAAAAGAAAAAATTAGTAAGATAGAGCAACTCGGAGTAAAAAGCTTAAGAAAAATTTCTATTGAAACAAAACATAAAATTTTTGAGATTTATTTTTATATATTAAAAGGATAATTTTTATTATCACTGGTATTTAACTTTTTTGCTGGCTCCGTGAACATTTCTTCGTCAGATTATTTAACTACTTTGTTTACGTTTTCTTATCGCATTCTGTCGAAAAAAAAAATTTGTTTGTCCCAAGTTACTCTACCAAAAAAGTCAGAACACGAAACCCATGTTCTGATCAAAGCAGACCCACAAAACAAAAAGTAGCACAAACGAGAGCAAAAAGGTTTTCAAGGAAAACCATTTTCTTTTCAAATAGAATAACCTAGGGTAACCTAGGGTAGCTCAATACACAAAGCTAATATAATATTTTTTTTTGCATAATTTTTTTTGGACATCATTGTTTTTTGGATCAATATCTTTAACTATATTTCCATAAATTGATTTTAAAATAAAAGCTTTTCCATATATTTCTGTTAATTAAGTATCATATAATTATTAAAACTGAAAGCCGGTGACAATTTGTGCATAATACTTATTCATATATATACATGTGATAAGTATATTTTTAAAATAAATTTGGATTATCTTTGTTTTCCGCCAGAGACTTACCCATCTACATACACATGTATGTAATAAAAAATAAGTTAATATTTTATTTATTTATTTAATAAAGAAAGATAATTATACAATAATTGCTTACTTATGAACTAAAGCCCTGGCTGCTATGGCCTTTGACTTTACTAATAATCATTTATAGTATACTAAATTTATAAGGGGGAAAGTGTGAATTTACCTATTAAAAATTGACAGCGAGATATCAACTTCTCAATAATATGGTTATACATAGAACATAGATCCGTGCATTTGAAAAGTGTAAGGGAAGTGTTAAGATGACCTCTGAGTATTAAACTAACAGTTTACAGGCCAAGAAAAACTTATGAATACTGTTAATGATTTATTCATCTGTCTTCTTTTCGGAGTTTCGAGGGTTTTTTGCATTTAAATGAGGTTTTTCTAATTGCATTTGAATCCAAGCAGTCTTCCAGAATATGGGAAACTGTTATTTTATTCAACCCACAAAATGGGCAAGGCAATTTATCGGTTCCCTTAAGGAGATGGGAGTGTGTGAAAAACCGTGTGGCCAATTCTTAATCGAATAAAGGTTCTTATTTTGTTACTAGAAATTGATGAAGCATACATAGGCTGAGTAACCTCAGGTTAGTTTTTAATATCGATTTTAAGCAATATGTGAATATATTTCTTGATTTATGGAATATCAAAACTTATGCTTAATTACTAAACTAATAATAAGTAATAAGTAATATTTTTACCGAGTTATTTATGATGTGTACCTGTAATTTCAACACCCAATACCAATATGAACCGGCCTTAGATATGCCGGAAACGAAACAGTTTGTACAGAAATATTTTATAATATAACACAAAATTTAAGTCCTTAGCCAAGGTCACACGTCGGGTTCTCTTTAAAAAAAAACGATGCATAAGACAGAGCTCTTTTTTCAATCTGAACCTTAAAACCCATTTCAAAAATCCTACAAAAACCCATTGTAATTGTTTTATTTCAAGAACCCCACTGTCCTCTCTTTGACTATTTACGTATTCTCACAAAACTTAACAATTTAGCGCCAAGCGGTAACAATTAAATATGTTAATAATCATTTGTACCTACAATATTGGCGATAAGTAAAAATATTTTGAACACACTCAACACCACAAGCTGGAATATCCTTTAACGCAAATTCACGGCTCGCATAGAGAAACCTACACATGTATACGATTGCCCACATGTGACTTTTCCAAATCATATACAATAATAAAGCGAAAATTTTAAAATTTGGCCATGATAAATAAAGCATAATTTTATGCAGAGAGTTGCATGAGGAGGTTGTATGTGTGTGTGTGTGTGTGCGAATAACGCATGTGTATTTTGCATTGTGGAGTGTGACAATAATGGCAGCGCGCAACTAAAGTAAAGTGGGAAACAAGCAAGGATGGGCAAAGTTCGAGTGGAGCCAAGCCAAACTAAAAATTTTCTTCACCAATTTGAGTAGACAAAGTGTGCTTTATTCTGTGTAGTGTAGCCGCTATATATAACTAATATTGGATTTTTTAGTGTGGACATGGTTCACTTTCGACCAATTCGAAGTATCCTTGCAAATATACCTCATATTGTTATGTACAAAGCCAATGGACCTTGTTTCCCCATACAGACGGGTATAATAAAAACAGCTACAAATAAAACGATATACATATATGCATATTAATATATTATAATAATAATGAAAGCAGAACTTTAACGTGCCACTACGCCAAAGCTTCACAGTCCCGCATCCGTATTCTGCTCAACCAATGAAATTTCCAATTGCAAGCTTGGTAGAGCTGTTGGCGCTGCTGTTGTTGACGATAATAATGACTGACTATAAAAATTGGCTCATTGTTATTTTATATAATAACGGCAGTTAGTTATGGCGATATGAAGAGGAAAAGAGGCTTACACTTATGTATATGTGTGTCAAATTCCCATTAGGTAATTTGGTTAGGTGATGCAAAATTCAGTTAAGACAGCGCATATGATTTTGTTAGTTTGGGACCTAAGTTTCGCACTCAACGCAATTCGATTGCTACATTGCAAAATTATTCCTTTTATTACATTTTTATGCATTTTCGATTTCCAAGTTACTGCTTGTGATAGCTGTATTCGCAGGTAAAGCTACGTGTCGATGTGTCAATTTCCGAACGTGAAATCGTATTATAACGGTGACATGAAACATTTATGTTCCAGAAGGAAAAAAGCAAAGTGGTGCATGCAAATAATATTGAGTTCACTTTCTCACCCGTTTGAGATAAACATGTTCACTATTGTTGAAGCTAGATCAGATGTCGATCTTAATTAATACCTAGGTTGCATCGTAACGATAAATTTCACGTCAAACATAAATTTTCTATTGTTTCATTTGAATCATTTGGAAATATCAACGTTAAAGCAGTATCAAAACAAATTTTATCTCGTTTTTAACCGAAAAGAAAAATTGTCTTAAATGTTTAATCTTTAACAGATAATGTTAATGGTTAACAGTGAAGTGTGTAAACACCATAGGAGACTGCAATTTTAAAATTTACGTTAATGATTAGTTTATGCGGTTGGAATGTTAACGATTTCATTTCGCTTTGGTAACACAAAACGATTTCATTTCGTTGAGTTAATTTTTCTTATAATTTGTTGAGCAACTCTGATACATATACACGATTGTGGCAATGTAACGAGCAATTACAGGTAAAACTGACGCAAATTTTGTCAAAGCAGCGTACTTAATATGTCATCACAACGATTGTAGTTTTTGTTTTTGAAATTATAACGCATTTTTTGGAATTCGTAGTGGGTTTATCAATTTTATTTTATTTTT